CATTGCTCAACATCATGAAAATTAAACCTTATTTTCAATAAGCGATCCTGAAAAATATTTGGGGTGTCTTAACTTTTTTCCTAGGTGTATATATATATATGGAAAAAGTTAAACTTATGTACAATAGTGTATTCCCACTATAGAGAATATAAGCATATTGTAAACATTAGATCAGTATATGTATAGTTCTCTTCTAGTCAAAAGTCCACTTAGGCCTGTTCAATTACTTTAGAATCTCATTTGAAAAGCCAAACTATTTTCTCTAATACTGTCACAATATTAGTCTGGTGCAATTCACTTACGATTGTGGTTTTCTTGCTTTTGAAGATCCTATGTCAAATTGCAATCAGGCTGATTCAATTACTTTAGAATTTCGCTTTGACAGAATAAACTTATTTTTTTTCTTACTCACTTTTGCACTGTTAGGTTCACTCTAATGTATATATATATATAACATTAGCCTATCACTTTTACATTACTTAACTTCACACCAACTATATTCTCCTTACTTTTATCTGTCTAATACTGTCTGTCTGCTGCTTCCCACTCGTCTCACGCTATTTATGTCTTTATTACATAGTCATCTGGCCACTTTCTATATTCTCGACACCAATTAGTTATTAACAAAACCTTCTACAATCGTCTGCTTTTAATTTTTATTATAACAAAATAAAATATTCACTCACAACCAGTCTTTTATATCATGACAGACTGCTAAGTCCATTCAGCTTATTTCTCAGAATCCCTGGTCATCATTAACAGATTAATCTAATTGTAACTTTCCCTTGAATTTTTATATGTATCAAGATCAGCTGTCCTAACTATGTATCTAGCAAGTTTTTCACATTCTGCTCCACAGAAATTCATTACAACTCATTAAATAGACCAAGAAATAAGTGCAAACATTTAACCAATGTCTCGCTACTAAATGTTGCTCAATAGCTCTAAAAGCAAGGGTCACAATGCCGTTTAAGAAGTCAATTTTTCAACCAAAAGTTTCCACACAACTGTCCAAGCCAAACAGTAATAAAGTGGCTTACACAAGATGTACTATGTGCATATCTTATTGTGAAACACCACTTGATCGCTCAGTAAGCAAGGAATGCCACTTCATTTCAGTGACTGATTTTGTAGTCAAATGACTGTCCTAACTATGTCTAGAATCCCAGCCATAATGATCAATAGAGCATAATCTCTGCTGACCATTAAAGCAGACTAACTGCTCCTTTTCATGAACAGCTAGACATGTGCTAACAGTGTATTCCTCCTCATCAGCTGAGGTAAGATCGTTTGACACAGTACTCTTGTCATCAGAGTCAGCTTGCTCATCCACCTCTTATTTCTGGAGTAAATAGTTTTCAAGAAGTTCATTAATGATATAAATTTTCATTTTTTCAACATGCCACATGATCACTGAGTCTCATTATTCACTTTACTGAATTGTTGTCTCAATTCACCCAGTAACCAGGTTTTAACTTTCATTTCACTAATGTTTCGTCAAAGCATCTCTTTTTACATACAACCACTTTACCCATTAGTTGTCATGTGAATTTATGTATGTCTGCTATTGCAAAACAGGACCGTTCTACATATTCCAGTGGATACTGTAGTACTTCTGCACTGGTTGGAGAACCATACATCAGATCCACTGGGAGCTGCACTTCTTGTCCAAACATTAGGTGATTTGCAAAACACCCGGTTAACTGTTGCTTTATTGTACTATATACTATCATGGCATATGGTAGGTGCTCATTCTAATCAGTTAGGTCAGGGTTAAGAAATTTAACAAGAATGTTTAACAGTCTGAACCATCCTTCCAGCCAGATTATCACATTGATGATGATATGGTGAAGTTCGAGTTTTCACCATACCCAACACTAGGCAAAACTCTGCAAACATCTGATTGATGAAGTATGCTCCTTGACTCATATAAATCTCTCCAGATACATCAGCAAGTGAAATCCATTGTTCAGACAAAATGAACTGTGCTAATGTTTCAGCCAATGAATAAGCTTCAGCCCACTTGATGAATTAATCAATAATAACCTCTTTCACTTTCAGACAGAGGATGATTTATATTAACATCTCTCTCTACAGGAGATGCTACAATTCTCTGATGGAGTTTTGCCTGACATGGCTAGTTATTCCTCTGGGCAGAAAACTTGGTACAATTATACACTATCCATCAACATTTCTGTGCAAATGCAGCCATAAAAACTACTTCTGCTCATTTGCAATAGTGCATGACACTCCCTGGTGGCCTCCAGTCCCTAATTATGCATAGTCTGAAATATTTCCACCCTTAGAGCTCTGGAGACAGCTAGCTGCATCATATGGTTGGCTAACACTTGTCAGGGTTCATACTGAAAATACAATATGCCATCTTTCAATTGTAACTGACCATATAAGTGC